CGTGCCTTTTGATCGAAGCGAGACGAACATTGAGCGTGCAATTATAGAAACATTCTTTCATGACGATCATTCACAGGTTTCTTCATTGCACGCTCAAAGGTCGCCTCGCTTTGATGCAAAGGCACAATYAATTTTCCAGGTGGGGCAGGGAACCGTGAAGGAGACTATTAASCTGCTCTTCCCTATCCMCCTTCCAWTTTTTTRTTRTTTTTTTATCGTCRGRMWKAAWWAACTAGTACACGAACCTTCGAGAAAACATGAAAATAGTGTGAGGAACAATCGCTGCCCTCGGACCTCTCGCTGTGTCAAATGAAACGGGTTGAAAGGCTGAAAGTAGGTCTCGATCAATCAAAACAAGCGTAGGAATGAATCTATGATAAGTGTTTTTATCTTATTCAAGTACTGCACTTGACAGGTCTATAGAGCAGTTCTCAACAAACCTGACGGCACCCGAGCTGTGGCAGTGAAGCATTTCAAGGGTGACCCACTCCTATCCTTCAGAGAATTTCGCAAAGAAATCAGCATCCTGAGACGTATCAACCACCCCAACCTTGTTCAAATGATTGGTGTTGCACGGAATCTACGATGTGTAGCTTTTGAGATTGCTCAGTATGGGTCACTAGACGATATTTTATTTGACTCATCAACAACTTTCATCCCACGGCTGGTAGTAGTAGCCATATCAAGAGAGGTCGCCGTAGCTTTAGACCAGCTGCACAAGTTGAACATTGTACATCGGGATCTTAAACCTGGGAACGTGCTCGTGTTTTCCCTTAAAGAGCAAGATCGAGTTCATGTCAAAGTTACGGACTTTGGAACTGCGAACTTTGTCGGTTCGTATGTTGTTTATTATTCTATTTTTGTTGCTGGGTTTAGGTGATTCTCGCGAGAAACTTGCGGACATGTATTCTCGGTGCATGAACAAATGACTGAGAGGTGTAATACAGTCAAAGGAAAATGAAGTTGAATGGATGGAGAGATGRATGAATGAATGAAAGAATGCGGTATAATTGAATGAGTGTGTAAACAGTGAACAAATATAGAAGGACGAGATCTGAATAAATGACGATGTCTAAATATAAAGTACCAGTWCTTGCTGATTTCTAAGGCTGTCTGATCAGTCACCGACGGACTGACYCATSAACTGCTTTCATTTTAGGGCCATCTGGCATGAGAGAAGAAGTCGGTAGGACTCGCATTAGAGCCCCGGAAGTCTTAGAGTTAGCTTTCAAAGAAGACTACGGCATTCAAGTTGACATTTATTCATTTGGAATTCTACTCTACAGCCTGATATCAAGGCAAATAGCATTCAAAAAATTGACATCTACCGGGGTACGTAAATATCGTGTTTGGAAAATTGTCTGTTTGGTTATAGTTTGTCGTATTATAGATATTCAACTCAGTCACACTTTTCACTAACCTTTCTCACAAGTGTATTATTTAACAATTAGACTTCGATGGCGAGTGGACTGCGAACTGATAGCCCACGAGGCCGAGGGGTCTAATTGGTTTAGTATTACTGTAATAGTTGGACAAAAAAATGAATGAAATATATAAACAACATTTCGTTTTGACACGCTCAGTCCGGAACATTACCAATTTTGACGCTTGGCATGTGAAAATATTTAATATATATATAAAAAAATACAATATTTCTAAAAGAAAATTAAAATTGGCGCTTTTCACTAGTCGAGGACTATTGAAAATAGACCCTGAGTAGCGTAGCCAATCAGAACGAAGGATTTGCAATAGTCCACTTGTATAGTAATACTAAAAACAAATAGGGTGGCGTAACAAACTGCTGCACACAGAACAAATAATTACTGGCAAACGGGCCGCACAAATGAGATGTAGTTTATAGACTAAAGTACCGATGACATCCTGCYCACATCATCCTTTAGGTTCGACATCGCGTTCTTCAACACAAGCGACCAGCCTGGCGAAACGTTACCGAAGCAATTAGCGCGTTTATTAACTTAACCCGTCTTATGTGTGTGTCTTGGCACCAAGACCCCAGAGACAGACCGACGTCYGAACAGTGCTGTTCACAGCTACAAAACCCTGGTTTCCAAGCTTTAATGTCGAAGCTTGCATTTCCTGCGGAATGCACAGTTTATATGGCACACATTTTTCCATCTAAAGACGAACTGTGGATTGTGCTTCGAACCTGCGGGCAAACATTTTTGTCTGTGTTTGATGCAAGRTTTACGTCAAAAGGGAGTAAACATGATTTTCTTATTTCCACGTCTGATTGTATGGTTGTCGAAGCCGCAAGCACCTCGGACGATGATGTTGTCGTGCTACTGAGGGAAGGTCCTTGTGGAGAACATGGAATCTTCAAGGTATTTTCGGTGTTTGGTAAGKTTCCTGATAAAAGTTTGAAGTGTACTGGGTTACCAGTTACTATTATAGGGATGGCAGTGTCGCACCACATAGTGTTTGTGGCTTCAGAGGATGGTTGCTTTGCTGCTTGGTGGGATGGTAAGTCATGTATAAGTAGTAGGCAAATAGCACCATATCATACATTGAGTCATCTTCGGTCATTATATTAGATCATGTGAAAGCAAGGACGTTGACAGAGGCTATCAAGTGTGCATAATGCGATTGACCGCAAATYGTGAGAGTATTGTTTGCATTCACATTGAATAAGTAGTATTTTAGGTGTATTTTCATAATAAGAATGAACGGTGAATATTATTCTTTCGTCGTGACGGACGCACGTGCGATTTTTATGTAGTTTAAGAAACGATGTAAATGTCCGGATGTGACGCWGTACTTTTTGATGATTTATAGTAAAAAAGTTAGTTGATCTTATTCACATTGTTAAGCAATTCTAATAAGAAATATATAATGCACATATTTGGCATTGACTCGGTTCTACATCAGTACYAGGCTCCTACGCAGTTATCGCTAGTCAGGAGATGGACCGTTAGGWATCTTTATGGAGGCTAGAAGATTCTGCGTGATGACTTCTTTGCTTATCGATGAATTTAGCAGTTACCTAATAAATTTGCTGTTTTCACAATATATGACGCCAATATGTCTTTTCAGAGGGTGCGAATGGATCCGTTCCACTGCAGCAGCTTACAGATTTCCCTTCAAAATCAATTGTCCTGTCGGGCGACCAACTGTGGGTTTCTTCGGAGAATCAAGTGATGATATATACGATTTTAAGTGACTGCGAAGAGAAATCCTTATATCAGCGTATTGATGTATATCATCGTATCAGTATCGATGTGTCTGGGGTAAAGACCATGTGTTGCTGCGGAAATGCAGTTTGGGCGTTGAACAACGATGGACTATTAAACCTRAAMGAGCAGGAATCTTATCTTGTAAAGAACAACACACTTACGAGTTTTACCATCACATCCGATACGATCTGGCTTGGATCAAGCACAGGTGACATATCGATCGTATCGACAAGCACATTGGAGCAGATTGCTATGTTTCGYGCTCATTCGGGTCCCGTGCTAGARTTGTTGTWTTGTGATGGCACTGACCCACCCATTGTCATAAGCCGTGGTATGACCAACAAGCATGACATGGGGAACGTCATCTTACCATTATCGATTGATACTTCTGAATTGGCAAGACTGACAGGCTCTAAAATACATTCAATGAGYGCACACCCGGTGAATGATTGTGAARTTAATTGGRAAACAGTTGAAGACATCGGTGATGTGTTTCTTGTATGGCAGGCATTGTCTTGTCGGTCATGGAAAATGATTACGAAAGACTTGACTCCATGTTGCCACTGAGACAGTGACTGCTGTCAATCATKCAGTGACGGCTAGAACATTAATTCCCTGTTGCCACTTAGACAGTGACTGCTGTCAATCATTCATTGACGGCTAGAACATTAATTCCCTGTTGCCACTTAGACAGTGACTTCTGTTTAATCGATGTCGGTCACTCTTTTTACTATAGTGCAAACAATAAACTTGTGAAGTACACAGACAACAAAAATGTACTATAAGATTTTTGGTCAGTCGTGGTGTTTATCATCAACACTTATTACTTGTTAGTTAATAAGTAGCAGTAGTACATTGTGGGTAAGGGATAAAACCCGAATAGTGACGTGCGAATATCGCGAATATAGTCCAGTCCTGACCTCTCGTTTCCGACGCTCGCAGAATCGCTGGGGAAAGAGAGTCCAGTATAACTTGCATGCGCATGTGCAGGACCAGCCAATCAGAATAAAGTTGAATTTTGAGAGCCCGCAATTTATAATGGTCAGTGGTTTGTTTACTTCACGTGCATCTTGAATTTAGTTGGGTGGAATTTAGATCCGTCAACTTAACGGCAGAAATCCCCTGAGAAGAC